AATACGTATAAGAAAAATCGTTTTTGTCAAAATCCAAGATGATCCTCTGATTTACCTCCCATTATCTTACAACTTGATTACAGTAAAATCAGATAACGAAAACAAAGGATGTCAATACGTGCTTGATTTTATTTTTAAAATACTTTTTTTCCCATTATATTTAATTAATATTTATTCGTCACGTTTTAAAAGTAATTACATCAAATCATCAGGATGTTTGTCAAGAATAAAATACACATATACACCTAAGTCTGTTTTTACACGGTCATTTTGTACACGGTTTTGATATAACACGGTTTGAAAATTGAATCTTCTTAATTTTTTTACACGATTTTATTCCATTTAGCACGATTTGAAATTTTATGTACTTAATTTTTTTTTGTCAAATTTAATTTTTGCGAAGTATGTTCATATCACAAAAAAGTATTTATGAAAGAAAAAAGTCTGAAACCATCGATAGTATCTTATTTAAAAATTCTTGTTTTTCACTAATTTTAATAGGTTTTAGAGATTAGGAACAAATCACCCATTTTTGTATAAGATCAATGTCTTTTTTTACACGTTTTTTTTTACACGGATTCTTGTGGAACCAATCTACCGTGTAAAAACAGACTTAGGTGTATTTGAATAAAACTACATATTAATAAAGTGATTGGAATAAAATTTAAACTTTAACATTTATTTTTTATTTGTGACGTTAGATTTATTTAAAAAATGACTGAATTAGAATTTAATTCGAGTAAATTTTGTTTAATAGTGTAAAATTTATTCAAAAACATTATTTTTAATTTTAAAATTTTTTTACGAAACGATAGCTACATTATTTAACCAATGCAAAATATAAATTTGTTGGGCAAATAACACTGTATATAACCTGGTATTTCGGCAGAAATATTCATCGTCAGAGTTGGAATAATTTATTTATTTAATTTATCTTTTGTTAAATTGTTTTTTTCTACTTACAGTTTATGACCCGTTCCTCTTCGGCGACTTGCTGGAAGTGCCGATGGAACTTCTTCTGTCGCGCCTTCGAGGAGCCGCCGGGTTTGCCGCCGCCGCCGCTGCCGGCGCTGCTGGGCGAAGCCGACAGCCGAGGAGAACTGCTTTGAGCTTTGAGGTTTCTGTAAAGGATAAAGGATAAAGGTCAGAAATAAAAATAGATTCTTTATTATGTATATATATATATATATATATATATATATATCTTATATATAAAAATGGAGATCTCGATCAAATGATTCGGTAAAACTCGAAAACGGCTGAACCGATTTGGCCAGTCTTAGTCTTGAAAAATTGGTGCTAATTAGTAGGTTGTCGGAAGGGTGAGATATTATTTCAAAATCGCGTAGAAACTTTACATTTTGAATTTGAAAATTTTTGTAGAAGCGTAATTTAAATAAAACAATGGACGGTGGCTAATACGTCAAATGTCAAACGTTTTTGACAGAGATGTTCAATTACGTAAATAGGATGTTTTACGTGAATATTTTTAATTCTGATTAAATTGTACCAAGTAGATTCGTTTGTAGTTATATTTATATACAAAAACGTTAATAAACGGACCGCAAGTGTTACTAGAGACTCAAAATATCAACTTTTTTGAAATGTTAATATGAAAATGCACTTTTTGGCATATTTTTCTCAAACACGGTGCTCTGAAAGATCTCATTTGTATAATTATATACTCATTGGTATTTATAAAATATTTTCTAGGTTATATTATTTTTTAATAGGTCATTTAAATTCAGAACCTAAATTTGGTATCTATCAAATGGACATTTTGTCGAATAACATTTTCCCAGTTATAATTTCCCAGAATTTATCGCAGAATAGATAGTAATATATGAAGGTCCGGGGTTAAAAAGGTCCACCAGCGATGTGTCAAAACCAGTAAAGTTAAGCATTGTTTAAAAACAATATTTGAAAGTAGAGGGAAAAAGATGTATAACCAGCTATAATCTTGATTCTTATGACTTTGCTATCGGGAGATAAACGGTAATCTTTGAAAATCCATAATAAAAGTATTTTCTTCTGTTGGTAGTTTTTTAGCATTAAAGTTAAAAATGTAATTATTTGTAATATACCTTTAAAATTATAATAAAGCTTTAAACCTCTTTGCCACAAACCTTTTAGACTTGGATGGATTATACTATGTTTTCTATAGAAAGTGTATAAAACTTCCACTATGATTGTATTGACAAAATATACAAACTATGGGGTTTATTTGTTTTTATAATACCTCATTGTATATAGCATTCAAACAACATATCCTTATAAACTTAAAGCATTAATATTTTTGAATCTCCAGAAATCGTTTAAAATATACCTTACTTATTAGCAAAACGTTTGCCGAGTCAGCTAGTATATATATATTCTTATATATAAAATTCTTCTGTACGTGTGTACAATTTGATACTTCTCCTAAACGGTTATTCGGATTTTGATGATTCTTTTTAGAGTTTGTCAAAGGAAATTTTTAACATTTAATGCACGATAAAACAATAGTAATATTGTAGAAATATATGGCAAAAATTACAAAAAACCACTTATCATTGTTTGACATTGAAAACATTTGAACTGCCATCTGCTAAAAATATCGATTTATTTGAAATTTGAATCTAGCTGAAATTATGAACCTAGATAATATTAGAATATAATATACAAGAAAAATGTGATGTCTACGTTATCATTGCCAAAAAACAGTTGAAATGTGCCAGAAATTGAAATAGGATATTAAAAAGTATAGGATAGGATAATAAAAAATTGGAACTTTTGAATTGTAGACGTGGGTACAGGACAACATCTGTCGGGTCATCTAGTATATATATATATATATATATATATATTACCACATTATGTAATATGTGACCATGTCACCTCTCTTATCAAAAATGTTATCTATCACAATTTATCATATTTTTTATAGTTTTTTGTTATTCAAATTTAATACATTAAAGTTGACTTATCTCTTATCAATGGAATAAACATCCGCTAGACAAAATATATGTTCAAGATTTGAAACCCTCATATTTATATATATATATATATATATATATATATATATATATATATATTTCAAAGTAACTGGCAGCCCATTCGTCGAAATAAAAAGGTATAAAGTATAAAAACTTTTATTTATACGTTTCGACACAAGATGCGTGTCATCATTCAGCAACACAGGACAAAAACACTCAACAAAAATTTATTTTAAAAAATTAAACTTAATAACATATTAGAGAAAAAAAACATTTTTAGAAAAAAAATTATGTATAACTAAAAGATTTGATGCTCGGTATGGGCGTGCTTCTAGCTTCACAATGATGTATTTCATAACTTTTAGTAAAATTAGTTTTCAAATCTTTTAGTTATACATAATTATTTTTCTAAAAAATGTTTTTTTCTCTAATATGTTATTAAGTTTAATTTTTTAAAATAAATTTTTGTTGAGTGTTTTTGTCCTGTGTTGCTGAATGATGACACGCATCTTGTGTCGAAACGTATAAATAAAAGTTTTTATACTTTATACCTTTTTTATTTCGACGAATGGGCTGCCAGTTACTTTGAAATATGTTTCAACGTCGAAAAAACTATCAAGATATATATATATATATATATATATATATATATATATTTTAATACTGATGATGACATATATGTTAAAACGTAGATTATAATAAAAGTAAAAAAAAATGAAACACAAAATTTAAAGATATTTTTTTGTATCTAAATTAAGATTTTCTAAGATGATTTTAGAGCTCCCAAATAATGACACTTATTTAGTATCGAAACGTACAAAATAATTAACTTATTTTTTTAAATATTAATGATGACATAGATATACATGTCGAAACGTATATTATAATAAAAAATATTATTATTTGAAATACAAAATTTAAAGATATTTATTTTGTATCTAAATTAAGATTTTCTAAGATGATTTTAGAGTTCTCCAATGATGACACTTATTTAAAGTCGAAACGTACAAAATAATTAACTTTTATAAATATTTTTTCTAATTTTTGCAGAATTTTATTAAGTGACTAAATAAATACAAAAATAAATTATGGGATACTAAATAAGTGTCATTATTTGAAAATTCTAAAATCTTCCTAAAAACAATTATAATTTGAGTACAAAAATATCTTTGAATTTTCTATTTTAAATAATAATTATTTTCTTATTATAGTGTCACGTTTCAATATATAATTTTATGTCATAAGTATAAAAAAATTAAATATAAATATATATTTATTTATTTATTTATATATATATATATATATATATAATTTCAAATCCTGAATATAAATATGAATTTAATTTTAAAATTATATACAATTTAGTATAGAACTTATTTGGCGTAAAATGAAATATGCTTTTATTATGCCTAATTATTAAAAATGAATCTCAAATTAAAAAAATAACTAGTGGGGTATGGCATCGTGCCTAGGCAAATTGCTGGAACTTCCCGTACCGCAATGAAATATTCGAGAAATTTTAAACGTTTTCAAACTTATTATTACAAATACTTAACGAACTTTCATTATTTTTGCTATCTTGTAAGTTATATCTGAGCAAATCAAATGTAAATCATAAATCTCTAGAATTTATCTACAGAACATTAACAATCGTCATTTCATTTCGAATTCAATTAAAAAAAAAATTGAAAGTTTCCTAATTTACACAAAATTGAAAAAGTGCTTCGTACATAAACAGTCTAAACGCAATTGGGTAAACATTTGTACCAGAGTGGCGCTTAGACTGTGTTTAGCCTGGGTAATTTTTTGAATTTTTAATTCAAAATTACAAAAATATTTTTTGGAAAACAAAATTAGAAACAAAATATTTTTTTCCAAAAGCAATTATTTTGTTGAAACAAGCAGAAAGTTTTTTGAATCATTTAAATCGGACGCTTAGTTCTCTCAAAAACTGCAATTTTTTTAATATTTAGCTCTGTATCTCCGAAACCGCTGGGCCTACCTTTGCCAAAAATGTTTTTTGGATTATACAAATCGGATGATCCGTTCTCTCAAAAACTCGATTTCTATTTTCTGTACTCTTTGCTCCATATCTCCGTAACGGCTGGACCTGCCTTTGCCAAAAACTAATCAGCACATCTCCCTATTTATTGGAATCGAATGTTTTTTAAACCATTCAAATCGTTTGATCCGTGCGCCCAAAAAATAATTTGAAATCTGAACCAAATCTGACGAAAAATGGCAGATACACGCAAATGTTTAGAAACCTCTGAAACGTGAAGATATGCAAAAATAATCATTTTCGATTTTCGGCCCATTACTATAACTACCCTGCGGGAAGTTAAAAATAAAAAAAATTTATATATAGCAAAATAATTTATTTTACTAAAAATATTTTATCTCGAGGAGCAATAGACAAAAGGACATCCCCGATTGTAATTACAATTTATAACATCTCCAACTATATCAAAATAATAATCTATCATTTACAAATCATATATCTATTATTACATTTGCGTCAAAGTGTGCGATAAATGATAATAATGCCGATAAACGTTTATTTATACAAGTACACATCGAAAATCGCTGATGTGTGCGAAAAAATCCATAATATTTGCACAGGTGTACATGCAAAAGCATAATGTGACGTCACTGGAGGTAAAAAATAAAAATTTACACCAAAATAATAGACTGACAGAGTTTTGTAATTGAAGGAGCGGAAAGTGGTGTTCCTCAAGGATGGGGATTCGGACCGTTGATATTCTAGAAGCTTATAGTTTGTGGATTATAAAAAGCTTATAAAATAGTTTGTGAGAGTGATTTGTGGGAAAATAAATTTAAAAAATTCTAATTTCTTTATCTTTTATCTCTGAGGTTAACTAACCCGTTATTTGATATTAAAATTTGTCTCGGTGCGAGAACAAGCCGGTCTGAAGATTAAAGATTTAAATTCAAGGCCGACATCAGACTAAACTGGAGACAAAAAACAAAAATTTACACCAAAATAATAGATTGACAGTTTTTCTTAAACTTAAGGAGCAAAAAGTGGTGTTCCTCAAGGATGGGTACTTGGACCGTTGATGTTCTAGAAGCTTATAAAATAGTTTGTGGATGTAGGAGTGATTTGTGGGAAGATAGATTTAGTTATAGTTAGATAGATTAATTTTAATTCTATTTTTTTATTTCTTATCTCTGAGGTTAACTAACCCGTTATTTGATATTAAAATTTGTTTCGGTGCGAGCACAGGACGGTCTAAAGATTAAAGATTAAAATTCAAGGCCGACATCAGACTAAATGTGGTCGTATGTTTGCATAAAGTGTTATTCTCGTTAATATGTAGAACAAACACAATTTATTATTACACGTACACGTTATATCACTTAATCCATAATACTTTAATTGACCCGCCGACTCGTAAAATAAAATAACACTTGTTTGTTACGATAAAAATGTCAACGGAAATGGAAAAAAATTTAATGAAATTTATAAACACCTAGTTATATTTGAGTATAAATTGATCCATAAAGGATGAATTTATTTATAAGAAAATATCAGAGAATTACATAATTATCAGTAAATTTTTTTTTTAATAAAATAAAGTAATTCAAATAAATCAACCACGTGTAAGTGGCATTTTGCCTATTGGCAAATAGTATGGATGTACTGGTGGATGACAATAGACATTTAGCAATTCCACAATTGTCAAAAAAATAATTGTTTAAATAATAAATTCCATTCTGAAGAAAATGACGAAGTTAAAATTATTCATTTAAAGTATATAAGTGAGTTTTGGAACTTTAGCCAAAATTAAAATCTGAATTATTTTCGATCAAAAAAATTTTTTGATAAAAACAAACTAAAACTAGTGGTGTAAGGCATCGTGCCTTAAGGCAAATTGCTGGAACTTCCCGTACCGTAATGCAATATTCGACAAATTTCAAACAAATTTTATTACAAATACTGTAACTTTCATTATTTCATTTTATTGTTATATCTGAGCAAATCAAATTTAAATCATAAATCAATTGATCTCCAGAATATTAACAATCGTCATTTCATTTCGAATTCAATTTAAAAAAAAAAAAGGGGAAAAGAGCTGATTATTTTTTGGCAAAGGCAGGTCCAGCCGTTTCGGAGATACGGAGCAAGGAGTGCAGAAAATAGAAATCGACTTTTTGAGAGAACGAATGATCTAAAAAACATTCAATTAGTAATGTTTGGGAGAAGTGTTTATTAGTTTTTGGCAAAGGCAGGCCCAGCCATTTCGAAGATACGTAGCTAAATATGTGAAAAATGGCAGTTTTTGAGAGAACTAAGCGTCCGATTTAAATGATTCAAAGAACTTTCTGCTTGTCTTAACAAAATAATTGATTTTGGATTTTTTTTTTCTTGTATATCGAAAATAATTCAGATTTTATTTTTATTCTGACTAAAGTTCTAATATAACTTAAACAAATAATTTTAAATTTGCAATTCAGTTTATATAATTCTTATAAATATTAGACAATGTTACAATATTTATAATAATCTATTTGAAAGCATTTAATATTCCTCGAACATTTCGTTACGGTACGGGAAGTTCCAGCAATTAGCCTCAAGGCACGATGCCACCCACCCCACTAGTTTATAAATTAATTTGAAAAAGTGTCATAATTTTGAAAATATTTCCATTCTTAAATATTTTTGAATAAAATATTCCCAGTATTAAATTATTGTGGATCTTCAACTTAATTTATGAATCATTAGCCAAGTTCTAAAATTACTTTAAAAATAAATAAATAATAAATCAACTTTTTGACTTATCTGTTGCAAAATTTATTACAATAGGTATATATATATATAGTAAAACATTCAACAAAGTACAGGAAAATTTTCAATGTTTGAACAATGATGAAGATAAAAAATCTATTCTTATACTATTTGTTAATTATATTAAACCCATTGCGAATTTGTGAATGGATATTTGCAAATTTATTTAACGCTATTGTTTAAAAATAGAAAATAGATGTGCTAATCCATTTGGATGGAAATTTAACAAGTTTTTTAAGGCTAAGAAGACAAATTCATTCAGTTTTGGTACAAATATAGACTCTCTAATCAACAATTATAATAAAAGATAATTTTTTCCTTATAATTGGACTACTACTAAATTTTCGTAAACGAAAGCGAGCACAAGCCGTGTTGCAATCACACAAAATGTTATAAAATTTCATATAATTCTATAGAATTAACAACAAAATGTAGGAAATTACGCAAATGTGGAGACTTCTCCATTCTGTGAAATTCTAAGATTTCGCAAACAGATGAGAAATTCGCTCCAATTGTGAAAAAGCGATGGCAAAATCGATTCGAAAATTATAATTAGGAGATTTTTTATTTTTAATTAACGGAATTGAAATACTAATTTGTACAGTACTTGAGTACTAGTTGAAAATTGCATTTTTGCCTTAAAGCAAATTGCAAGGACTTCCTGATAGGTGTAGTAATTTAATTAATCAAGCGAAATTGGAATTTAGATATTTAGGTAAAATTAGTCAACTGCTCATTTCGTAAATCATGTTTTTGTTTTCAATTGCGATTTCCAATAGAATTTTCTCAAACACATTTGAATATTATGTAATTATAATAATTATATTGCACAGCACGCTCTTGATGTCCTAAACTTCTATTTTATTATTCAAAATTTTAATAAATTAACAATGTTTGACTTATAACATCAAAAAAGCAACTTTTCACACAAATTTTGACTATGGTATTTTTGCAAACTTTGATGAATTTTTAAAATTGGACTACTTGTCGTAATATTTCAGTATGTTCTATAAGACCATGATATCTATCGTCAAAAAAAGTTTCATAAAAATCTGAAAAAAAAAATTCAGCAGTTAATTACAAGAAAACAGTTCGGTAGATTTTCAACTAAAACTAATCATTATCATTCCCAAATGGTATCTTTCGAACAGTTTTTCATTTTTGAAAATCGATTCGGTAGTATGAGCTTAAATGAGGATGAAAAGTTTAACACTTTTTTCCAAATTACAAAGAAACGGCTCGCCCGATCGCTGTACAAAACTGAGTAAAGATAATCCACATCTAAATACGTCGATTGGCTTTTAAATTTTTGAAATCGGTTCAGGCGTTTTTGAGCAAACGTCGATGAAAATTATAATTTTGACAAACGCCAAAAAAACGACACTAATTTTTGCAAACTTTGACAAATTTTTAAAATTAAACGACTTGTCCTAGGACCGTAATATTTTAGTGTGACCTAGAAGATAATGAAATCTACCGTCAAAAAAATAATAATAAAAATTGTCGAATTTTTTTTTAATACTTTATTACAAGAAAACGGCCCGGCCGATCTTTACCAAAAACTGATCAGCACGATTCCTAACCAATATCTCTCGAACGGTTTTTGAATTTTCAAAATCGATTCAGAATTGCGGGCTAAAACGTGGACGAAAATTTTTTCACTTATCTGCTATTTATAAAGAAACGGCTTGGCCGATCGTCGCCCAAAACTGACAAACGCTGGTCCTCATCGAGATACATCGAATGGTTTTTAAATTTTTGAAATGGGTCTAGCCATTTTTGAGAAAACGTCGATTTACGGCAAAAAATCTGTTCACACACACACACACATACTTTTTACAAATGTTGGTCTCATTCGATTCAGAATGGCTTGAAACGTCGAGAAAATTAGAAAATCGGATTTTTTGATGAAAACATAAACTTCTCCTTCGGGAAGTTAAAAATCATCAAATATGGATGGATTGACCATTGGGTTACCATCTAAAAAATACGAAGTAAGGCGAAGTTTCAGCCCAACAGCTCATAGGACGTAAGGTTCTGATTGCTGTTCAAAAAAAACAACTTTTTTTTTTATCTTACCCATCGGTTTCATCTTCATTATCATCCTCAGAACCGACATCAACTTCTTCGCCCTGGTCGACATCCGTGGTAACAATTACAGGAATCTTCAAGCCGTCCTTCACCTCTTCATCAATTTCTGGTAAATCTAATTTTTCGCTCAAAACTTTGGACAATTTCTCCTGACTCGTCAATTTGTCTTCAAAAGGAGTCTTTGGAGTCTTCAGATCCGAAGACTTAGATTTGGATGACTTTGGAGTCGAACCCAGTTTCTGGTTCGCCAACTTGATATCAAGAGTCAACTTTTTCTTATCTGGTGTCTCGGTTGGTGTTTTAGGCGAAACCTTGGCCGGAGTTTTGGTGTCACTTATTTTCCTAGGCGTAGATAATTCTATAGACGACACTGGGCGTTTTTGTACGCTCCATAATTTTCTAGGACTTTTTTCCACTAAAGTCTCAATTAAACTAGATTCACTGGACGCCAAATTTTTGTTCTTACAAACCTTCTGGTTATCCAAAACCACATCACCATTCACCAAATTGGTTTTGGATCCGAATCCATTCGGCGTCGATTTTCGACGTTGTTGTACCAAATTTATTTCGCTGGTTGAAATTTTTTTGGTTGATTGCAGCTTCAGGTTTTTTGGGCGCAGCAGGTTTTTCTGAATGTCCAAATTTTCGGTAATCGACAGCGATTTTTGGCTTTCGACGCGCGTCAGGGTCACCATGTTGGTTATGTGGTCGTAATAGTTCATTTTGATAAATTATAGAAAAACACTTGGCACTCTGGATTATTTTGGTTAAAACATACAAGAGTTCATGAGACTAAAATTTACAAAATTTATGTATATATTAGGGTGGTACTTGGTATGGACTTTTTGGAATTTCTTTGCTCCCAAGGGCTCAAATGCTTCCAAATTGATGAAAAACAATTCTGTAAAAGTTTTAGCTTTCAATATTGACATTTAGATAGTCCGCAAATCAATTAAAAGTTTCGTATATTCTTTAAGTAAATTTTTGCGCCATCTGTGATAGCATTTGCAAACTCGCACTTAAAAATATTTATAAATCACTTAACCTCTAATTAAATCCATTAAACGAAATATTTATTCATCATGGCATCAAAATTAATTTTGCAGCAAAATATTTATTTAATTGCTAATGTTGACACTCAAATTGCCAGTGCCATCAAAGTTACAAGTCTGCTATCACAGATGGCGCAAGAATTTGCGGACTATCTAAATGTTAATATTAAGAGCTAAAACTTTTTGAAGATTTTTTTTTATTAATTTGTAAACATTTGAGTCCTTGGGAGCAAAGAAATTTGAAAATGTCCATATTAAGGACCACCCTATCACTTTTTGTTCTTACTTAGAATGTGGCCCACGGTTTTAATGATTTAATTAATAAAATTATTAATATAAAGATGCTTTTAACTAAATAAATAATTACTAATAATTATCAGCTATCAAAATACAGGTCTGCTATCACAGATGGCGCAAGAATTTACTTAATAATAAATACACGAAACTTTTAATTGAATTGTGGACTATCTAAATGTTATTTTCAAGAGCTAAAACTTTTTGAAGATTTTTTTTAATTAATTTGGAAGCATTTGAGCCCTTGGGAGCAAAGGAATTCGAAAATGTCCATATTAAGGACCACCCTAAGATGAATATATATTTATATATACATTACTTTTCAAATCTCACTTAGAATGTGGCCCACGGTTTTAGTAATTTAAAAAAAATATTTAATGAAATAAATTAAGCAAAATTATTTCAAAAATTATAAATATAAAGATGCTTTTAAATAAATAAATAATTACTAACTCGATAAACAGTATACAAATATTTTAAATAATTATTTATAATAAAAGTGTTTCAGAAATCCTAAATTTTCCTTTTTATTAAATTAGTTAATAAAAAAATATGACAAATTTCTATATATTTTTAATAATTAAATAAATATTTTTTTTAAAATGTATTTATAAATTTTATACTACATATAAATAAACGCAAAATGGTTTTCTTTAAAAAAACATTGTTTTGGATAAATAATTTTACTAAACTTAAAAACAATAATTAAGTTTCATTAAAATTGCTGCAGACACAAATAAAGCTTTCATAATTAATTATATATATTTCGTAAATTAATTCCAAGATTTTTTTTCGATAAATAATAAATTTACAATTGTTTTTAAATATATAAATTATTACGTATTGTATAATTCGTGTGAAAGTTTTTTTAAAAAAATATTTAAATTTTACTAAACTTTTTTATGAAAGTAGTTTATGCATAAGCAATTACAGTTGTTTCTAATTTATTTAAACAAAAAAATATGAATCTAGATATTTAAATTGCTTAACAAATTTATAAAATTAATTTAACAAATTTATAAATTAACAAATTTATAAATTTAATTTGGTAAATTATTTTCACTAAAATTAAAACTTGTTATATATAATATATATATATATATATATATATATATATAAATTATATATATAGATATATAAATTATTTTTAATCTTGAATTAGAGAGATTTTTTCCATAAAAATTCAAATAAATTATTTAGGTATTTATGGAATAGCTACAACAGCAAAATTAATTTGTAATTTTTATAAACAAAACAGGACAAAAATTTTAATTATAAATATTGTGTATATATTTTGAAGACATTTAATCTAAGTATGTTATTTTATTTATTCAAAAACAACACCGCAAAAATTTTATCAATTTTTGATTAATAAAAACATCCGTTCTTTTGGTTTTGTTTAATGTTTTTTGTTTATTGAAATTGAACCAAAGAATTATCAATATAAAATTGTTAAGTCTAATAATAAGACCAAAAATTATTTTTTTATAAATTACTTGTTTTGTAATATTTATTTTTTTGTTCTACAATAATAATAAATTTTATTTCAGACTCTTGTTAGGCTTATTTATAATTAATAATTAAAGAAAGGTAAAGTTAAATTAGAAATTAATTTTAATTGTTATTGAACGTCAAAGCTTCAATTTTAAAATAACTATTTATTTAAAAATGATTCTTGAAAAGGTATTTTATTTTTGAAGTTTTAAGTTAAGTTTTTTTAAACTTTATTCTGCAATCTGTTTATGCTCAAATATTAAGCAAAATTAATTATTAAAAAAATAAAAATAAAATAATCTAAGTTTAAGGTTTTTAATGATCTTGGCATTATATTAAGGAGCTCAAGAAATATTTTGGATTCAAAAATAAGTATATAATATATTCACTACAAATTATCCAATTTATAGATAATACTTAATATTTTTATATATAATATAGTATGTTTATTGAATAGTGCAAAAAAAAATATTTTAGGTAATGCCGTTGCCTTTTGTTTTTACCAAAAGAGTGGTACACGTTTTTGAAAAATTAATAAGTCTATTTATATGGATAAATATATGAAATTTTTGCTTGGCATGATTTGTTTATAAACTTGTTTAAATAATAAAAATATAGAAAAACAAATACAAACAAATAAAAATGAATAAATGAGAGATTCTCAAACATCTTATAAGATTCTTATAGAAGTTTTGCAAGATTTTGTCTGAGTGAACAATTTCGAGTAAACTTTCTATTTTTTTTTTTTGAAGATTTTAAAAATGAATATTGTCTTAGTACTTGATATGTATTTTATATTTAAAGTTTTAACTTTAAATTTAAACTTTTTAACGATAATTGCATACTTTTGGGGTGTGTGTGAGTTAAAAACAATATTTTTGGGTTCAAAAATAAATATATAACATACTCACTACAAATTTTCTGTACAAACTGTTAATTATTTTTATACTTTGCACCAATAAATTGGAGATTCTCAAAAATCTTATAAGATTCTCATAGCAGTCTTGTAAGATTTTTTCTGAGTAAACTTTCTAATTTTTTTTTTTTTTTGAATATTTTAAAAATCAATATTGTCTTTGTACTTAATTAAAGTACCTAGAACATTACTTCTACTAAATCAAATATTTATTTTTCAAAAAAAATATCAGACTTTGTTACTTTATGTACACAAATATCAGTTATTAACCGTGTTAATTATATTATTAACAATATTATTCTAATAATTAGAAATTTAAGTGTTAATTATAAAACTCATTAAAAATTATTATGATTTGATACGTCGATTAAAAAATACTTAGAAAACGTTAAAGATATTTATCAGCTAAGTTTTATCTGATATTGCAAAATGATTTATACACGTGTGTATGTATATATTTATGTATAAACAATTATATTTACTGTTAATTTGTTCCAAAGACTGGTTTTGTTGTATGTTGTATAATGTTATTTTAACATATGTGCCACTTTTTCATACATTCGATAATAATATTCAAATTTAATGCAATTACGACATTTTGCAATATATATATATATATATATATATATATATATATAAACATTGAAAATTAAATTATTTAATAATTCGTTAGTCACATTTTTACACCTAAAAATAAATTTTCTAATTATTTTTTTATATTATTTAATAGGTACTCGAGAAATATTCTATATGTACTTTAGTAGTTAAATTAAGTACTAAGACAATATTGATTTTTAAAATCTTCAAGAAAAATTAGAAAGGTTACTCGAAATTATTTACTTATACAGAATCTTACAAGATTACTGTGAGAATCTTACAAGAACTTGAAGAATATTCAACTTTTTATATTTTTATATAATTTTACCAATCTTATATACAAGTTATTTGTGTCAACATTTTTATGCAATTATTCTTGCAAATAAATTTATTAATTTAGAAGTAACATTGTTCATACACTTGATGGCAAAATATTTTTTAAGTCATAGTTTTGAAGAATTTTTTTTTTTTTAATTTTAACTGCTCTATTTATTAAACTTAATATATTTTTATAATTTAACCAATACTACAAACAAATCGTTTTTGAAAAAAATATATATATTTATACTTGCAAATAAATTTATTAATTATTAATTAATTAAAAACGTTGTTCACACTCTCGATGAGAGCAAAATATTTTTTAAGTCATAGTTTTAAAGAAAATATTTTTTTTAATTTTAACCGCTCTATTTATCAAACTTATTATATTTTTATAATTTAACCAATACTACAGACAAATTATTTTTGAAAAAATATATATATTTATACTTGCAAATTAATTTATTAATTAATTAAAAACGTTGTACACACTCTCGATGAGAGCAAAATATTTTTTAAGTCAAAGTTTTAAAGAAAATATTTTTTTTAATTTTAACTGCTTTATTTATTAAACTTAATATATTTTTATAATTTAACCAATACTACAAACAAATAGTTTTTAAACGAAAAATTATGTATTTATTCTTGCAAATAAATTTAATAATTTTTCTAAAACGTGTACCACACTTTTGACGTAAACAAAACGGCTTTAATTAAATTTTTTTTTTTAAATATTTTTGCGCTATTTATTGAACTCAATATATTTTTATAATTTAACCAAGAATATAAACAATCAATTTCTGGCATAATTTTTATGCATTTATACTAAAATTTAAATTTATTAATTTACCAAACACGTGGACCACACTTTTGGTGTTAATAAAATTCTTTGGGCTTTGACTAAAATATTTTTTTTAAATGTATTTGTACCTTTTATTTAATTCTGCTATATTTTTTTATTTAACAAATTTTATATATAAATTATTTCAGCAAAAAAATTATATGTGTATGTTAATTAATAAAGTTATGAATTTTTTAAAAACATGGAACGTATCTTTGGTGCAAATAAACAGTGTTCAATTAAA